AAACAGCTGATAAAAACATCACAATAATCCACACCACTCCAGTCCATCAATTAATGTCTTGAGAAGCAAAAAGCTGTGTGTTTGTAAGAAACAAATCCATGAAGACGTTTTTAACTTCAAACCATTGCTTCTGGCCAAAATACGAGTCCATAATCCATAATAACACTTCCTCCAGTGAAAAAGTCATCTCGACTGAATCAGGAGAGAAATTTGCACAGATCAAGCACCGTTTACAAGTGAACACAGCCCAAAGCAGCTCTAAACAAATATGTGGCTGGATTTTGATGTGAGAGACAAAAGGAGATGGACTTTTTCACTGGAGGAAGCGTTATTAGGGATTATGGACTCGCATTTTGGCCTGAAGCAATGGTTTGAATGGTTAAAAATGTTTTAATGATGGATTTGTTTCTTACAAACACATAGCTTTTCACTTAACAAGATGTTAACTGGTGGACTGGAGTGGTGTGGATTATTGTGACGTTTTTATCAACTCTCATTCTGACGGCACCCATTCACTGCAGAGGATTTATTGGTGAGATGGTGATGTAATGCTACATTTCTCCAAATCTGATGAAGAAACAAACTCATCTACATCTTTGATTCCCTGTGGGTGAGGACTTTTTTTTTTTTAATTATAATTGGGTGAACTAATTTCAGCCTCTAGCACTAGAATTAAATGTGAGTGTGTGTGCCATCCTGCAGCGTTTGGGCTCCAATCGGGGTGTTAATGTGTTCAGTCTGTGGTGCTGAGCTGAGATCAGTCTGTTGTGACGGGTGAAACCAGGAGGAGATCGGCCTCTAGTTATCTTCATGAAGCAATGGTTTGAATGGTTAAAAATGTTTTAATGATGGATTTGTTTCTTACAAACACATAGCTTTTCACTTCACAAAACCAAATCTGATGAAGAAACAAACTCATCTACATCTTTGATTCCCTGTGGGTGAGGACTTTTTTTTTTTTAATTATAATTGGGTGAACTAATTTCAGCCTCTAGCACTAGAATTAAATGTGAGTGTGTGTGCCATCCTGCAGCGTTTGGGCTCCAATCGGGGTGTTAATGTGTTCAGTCTGTGGTGCTGAGCTGAGATCAGTCTGTTGTGACGGGTGAAACCAGGAGGAGATCGGCCTCTAGTTATCTTCAAGGAGGTCTCAGCTTCACAAGACATCTGTTCTGAATCCCTCCTCATCTCTGGCTCGATAACGTTCAGTTCTCTCTTCCGTCTGTGGGAGGCTGGAGGCTTCGGCAGGAGCAGATATCAAAAGCCACTCGGCAGCGGCGGCACGAGGGAGTCTGAGAAAGCAGCTGGTTGAGGGCATGTGTATTATTAACCAGCAGGGGGCGTTTTCAACCACAGCCAGTGGCATTCTGGAAAAAAAACAAGGACATTTGTTGGGAGGTTTGTTTTAAATGACTACAAGGACTTTTAGTCTAAATAAACGTCATCAGACCCTCTTATTTATGAACCATCTTCAAGTACACTCTTAAAAATAAAGTTTTTTTATTGGCATCTCTGGTTCCATGAAGAACCTTTAACATCTACGGAACCTTTATAGTGGAAAAAGCTTCTTTCAATTTTTTAAATGTTCTTCACACTGTAAGGTTCTTTGCGGAACCAAAAATGGTGGAATCACCATTTTGGAACCAATTCGCCGGGAGTTTGATTGACAGGCGATCTGACCAATCATAATCCAGAATCTGCCATTTTGTCTGATAAACAAACCAGGCAGGAGAGTAGATCAACATCAGTGGACTTGAACTTGAAAAACAGTGTATTGACATCTTTCTGCGGTTGAAACAAGACACCTTCTGATGTTCATTCATGTTTATTTCATGCTATAACTAGTAACGAGGAAGAGACGATCGGTTCACATACCCCTTGAACTGAGGCGCTACAGCGATCCATTAAAGAGCCACAAAATAGTATTTATTGTTTTTATTTCTTGCAAAATGAAAGCAACCAAATTTGAAAGCTGAGACTTTGTTTCATACCAAGAGTGATCTGCTCTGTCCTTGGCTTGTCGGATGTAGCAACAGTAACTAAAGGGGCGGGTCTTTGCGGAGGGTCAATTGAATATTTAGTTTTACTAAGCAACACATCACATTAGAGAAGTCAAATGTGCTGGAAAGCCGTCTCATGTTGTTGTTTTGTGGCTCAGGCTCGTGTTTTGGCCACCATCGGCATCACTCGTGGACTCGGCGATCACGACCTGAAGGTTCACGACTCGGACATCGCTATCAAGCCATTCCTCTCCTGTTTTCCAGAGGTTTGGAATTCATTAACACACGCATAATCAGATGACTTCATTATTCATTATTTCGCTATCTAAAAAGTACCATGATATTACCATGTTTTTGTTTTGTTAATACCATGTTTTTTTGAACATGTATCATGGTAATATTATGTTTGTTGTTGTGTTTTGAACAATATACCATGGTATGTGAACATTTACCTTGATATTACCATGTTGTTTTGTCATTGATCATGGTTTTACCATGCTTTTAGGACATGGCACCATGGTATTACCATGGTTTTTTAGAACATGCACATGCAGGAAATGTCATGTTTTTTTTTTTACCATGGTATTGCTATATATATATATATATATGGTGTGTGTGGTAGGGTTAATATTGTTAACTAAAACAAACAATAAAAAACATTTTCATTACTTGAAATAAAAAAAAAAACAGAACTTTTCATTTAGTATAAGCTGAAGTATAACAATAACAAAATTAAAACTAAAACTTAATAAAACAATTTAGACATGTACCAAACCATAAAAACTAATAAAAATGACAAAAACACAAAATTACTAAAATGAAATTGAAAGCAAAATATAAAATAAAATCGAATTAAAATATTAACAAATACAGTAGTATATCGATGATAGTAAAATAAAATAAAAACACTTGTGTGTGTGTGTGTGTGGACATTTACCATGGCATTGGTGTGTGGTTTGGAAAAAGTACCATGGTAACACGCTGTTTTTTTACAAAGGTACCATGGTAATATGTTTGTTGAACATGTACTATAGTAATACCATCTTTTTGTTAATATCATGTGTTTTAAACAAGGAAACAAAGGTATTACTGCTATTATTTTTGATATGGTACCATGGTATTACCATAGTGTGCTACTTCTATATTGTTTGGAGAAAAATACAATTGTATTAAAGTATTACCATGTTGTTTGTATATGTACCATGGTATTATTGTGATTTTGGAAAGGGCAAGATGGTAATATCATGTTTTGCTCAACATGTACCATAGTAATACCATGTTTTTTGTGAATGTAATGCTTTTTTTCTTTTTTTTTAACACAATACCATTGTATTATTGTGTTTTCTGGATATGGTACCATGGTATTACCATGTTGTGTGGACATATACTGGCATTACTATATATTTGGACAAATTACCACAGTTTTGCTGTGTTTTGTATGGTATCATGGTATTTACGGGGGATTGTTGGGGGGGCGGGCATATACTATAATATTACCATGTTTGTTTGGAAAAGGTACATTTTTCAGACATTGAAGTACATTGAAAATACCAAGGTAGATATATTTGCTATCATACTACTGTATAATAAATTACTACAGTATTCCCATCTGATGCCATTACTGGTACGTTTGTAAGGGTTTCTGGGTCAGAAATCAGGTCTGTTCTGCTTATTGAAGTAACCATATATGTTATATAACCACAGATTTATTTATATAATGTCCTGCATATCAGCACAACAGTGTTAAATCGAATAGAATCAAGTCTAAAAGCCACAGATTTAGCTCCAGTGCTTGTGTTTACCGTGATTTTTACCGTCTCTAAGACAGTTTGATCCCGTCAGAATAAAGTTGTGGTCTTAAAGCAGCTCAGATCCCTCCAGTGACACGAGTCTCTCCCCTCTCCAGTCTTCTGAAGCTCTCTTGATCTTTAATTCACACGCTGTGTAAAGTTCATCCGCGGTTCATCCCGCCGTCTGCTCCTTGGCTGACTTTTTTCTCTTTCGGCTTCTCTTTGATCTGTTTTTCTTATTCGTCCTCCTCCTCCATGCACTTTTCCCTGTTTAATGTGCTTGTGCAACGAGTAGAAGTATGTCAGCTATGCATGCGGCGTGGACTCTGGCTGGGTCGAGTCGCTCCTCATTTCCTGTCTGTTGTGCAAATACTTGGTCAAAGGTCGAGGATGGGTCACCGAGGATAACCAGACACTTGCATCAGATATGATTTCTATCTGTCGATCTTATCTTTCTAGCTAATACTGTGTGTGTGTGTTATATGTGTGGTATATCTTTTACTGAAAAATATAGATAATTAAATATATAAATTAATACATTTTATTCCATATTTAAGTATTTTTTATGTATATTTTTGTATTTATTATTATTATTATTATTATTTATATATATATATCTTTCTAATATATAATTATTCTACAATACACATACCCTAGATATGTATGTAATTGTAAAATTGTAACTGTAATTGTAAAAAAAAAAAATATAGACAACTAAATAAAATATTGAATACATTTATTAATTTATAAAAAAAATTAACATTTTATAATTATTGTACATTATTGTATTTTACAAAAATGTTAAATTAAAACAAATAATTTTAAAATGAATCATGATAAAACACTTACTGAAAAAATATTTTATTTGTTTACCTGCATGTCATGTGACCATAACCAATGTCAGAGAACCATGAACATGCAAATGTGGTACTTCAGTATAAAATATTTATTTTAAAATCCCAGGTGTACTTCAAATACAAATATATTAGATGAAAGAGGGTCAGATTGAAAATATGGTGAAGTTGTGCATTTTAATGTGTTTGAAAAACAAATGCCTTCCAAAGTAATAGATGGTAAAATAACGGAGTGATAATTCAAATAAAAATGAATGTGTTCGTCAGTAGTGGATGCAATGTTGAAATGCTTCTTAAACCTGAAATGATTTTGTAAATCCAGTGGTCAAATGCTGTATAGCACCTAATGACTCATCTCTGTGTGAATGTCCACAAAACTGGAAGACTTTCTGAACGTATAGAAGCAGTAGTCTATTGTAGAGAGGAAAATTTAAAGGTGAAAAATAGGAATTAGGGAGAATCAGTAAATTATGAATAAAGTATTGCTATTGTGTAAATAATATGCAATCCATAAAAATGTAACTGTAGTTTGATTACAAGTATTTTAAAATGTAATTTACTCTAATTGCAAGTACTTAATTTTTGGATTACATGTAATCAGTTATTACCCAGCTCTGTATATATATATATATATATACAGTGGGTACGGAAAGTATTCAGACCCCCTTAAATTTTTCACTCTTTGTTATATTGCAGCCATTTGCTAAAATCATTTAAGTTAATTTTTTTTCCTCATTAATGTACACACAGCACCCCATATTGACAGAAAAACACAGAATCATTGACATTTTTGCAGATTTATTAAAAAAGAAAAACTGAAATATCACATGGTCCTAAGTATTCAGACCCTTTGCTCAGTATTTAGTAGAAGCACCCTTTTGATCTAATACAGCCATGAGTCTTTTTGGGAAAGATGCAACAAGTTTTTCACACCTGGATTTGGGGATCCTCTGCCATTCCTCCTTGCAGATCCTCTCCAGTTCTGTCAGGTTGGATGGTAAACGTTGGTGGACAGCCATTTTTAGGTCTCTCCAGAGATACTCAATTGGGTTTAAGTCAGGGCTCTGGCTGGGCAATTCAAGAACAGTCACAGAGTTGTTGTGAAGCCACTCCTTCGTTATTTTAGCTGTGTGCTTAGGGTCATTGTCTTGTTGGAAGGTAAACCTTCGGCCCAGTCTGAGGTCCTGAGCACTCTGGAAAAGGTTTTCGTCCAGGATATCCCTGTACTTGGCCGCATTCATCTTTCCCTCAATTGCAACCAGTCGTCCTGTCCCTGCAACTGAAAAACACCCCCACAGCATGATACTGCCACCACCATGCTTCACTGTTGGGACAGTATTGGACAGGTGATGAGCAGTGCCTAGTTTTCTCCACACATACCGCTTAGAA